TAATAAAGAAGTAGATTCGATTATAAGAAAAACAGAAGTAACATGTTTGGTTGTACGCAGTGTGATACAAGAAATGTTCAGTAATTGGCTAGTTGCATTTAAGCAGTCTGATCCTTGGTTTGTTGAAGGTTTTTCGACATTTTATGGAGTTTATCTATCCGATCAGGTAATACGTGCATTTGTAATTCAGCTGCTTTTTTTCAGTATAAAATATTTAGAACTAAAGTGTATGGCATTCTAATACCATAATTATATAAAAAAAATATGTAATATATATGTTTATATATGTATACCATAAATATTTAATATGTACATATAACATAAATATTTAAACTAATGTAAGTACATACAAATATCGAATTTGGTTTTAGTTTAAGGTTTATTTCTTTTAAACAAAGTATACAGTGTATAAAGTGTATGTTTAATACTTCAATTTCAATGTGTGCGTACAAACAATAATACATATATGCAGATCGGTAAAACAAAAACTAATATGTATTAAATAGTGCTATCAGAAAGTTCGGTGAAAAATTTCACTGTCATACTTCTCTTTTAATTAATGTTTGTAGTATAGTATATAAAAGTTTTAAAACATTGTATTAATACTAATATGCTTATACTAAAAGTTTTTCTATTACTTGATACCAAAGACTTGATACTATAAAACTGTATTAATTTACCTCAGAGTAATTAACGTAGCTAAAATAGACGTATGTGTTACTTATACAAATTTTTGGTAGATTTACAATGAAACTTTACTGATGTCGATTGTGGTCCAGGCACGACGGGTAGATTTTGAATATACAGAAGCATTTAGTGAATATGATCTTTCGATGCAAAATTATACATTTCTTCACAACGTAACCTTTAATAAAATGTGGAAAGAGAAAGGTAAGTAAAACTGGTATTTATAATTTGTACTTACCTAAGTCTATCCCAATAAACTTGAATAATATTATTTACACTCTTAGTTTATATATCTTAAGAAAAAATAAACAATTAGAATATACAGTATAATTTTTGCGAAATCGTCATTGAAGTATAAAATACAGTTATTCAGTTATCAGTTATATGTACTTATAAAAGTTAATATACGTATATTGTTGTGATTATAACTTGATACTATTTACACATTCCAAATTATGTTTTAGCATTCATTATTTTTTATATGATGAATACTTTATTCCGTAATCAAGATGTTTTATATAACACTATTTTCGAGAAAGCGATAACTACATATAACACGTAAGTATGAAAGTTGTATTATACCAGTCATCATAAAAAGTAAGAAAGTTTAGGATTAAACAGTATTTTATACTAAACGTGTAGAAATTGTGAAATATTTATTTCATACTATTTAAGACAATTAACACCGATGTATTTTTTGTTTTGTTATCTGTTGTCATTAATAGTACATCAAGTGAGACATATAATGACCAGTCTGTTCTTGAAAATATATGGAACAATTTAATGTTTGTGCCGAGTATAAATGAAAACATCCATTTGAAGTATATAAATATACAAAATGTAATAACTTCATGGATAACACATGATGGGTATCCTGTGATACAAGTAAAACGTGAACATAATACACAATTTCTAGAAATTAAAATTCAAGATTGTGTTGCGTTTAAACAAAAGAACTTGTGTGCATATAAGTGGTGGATACCTGTAATCTATGTCAAAATATCGAAAAAAGCGTCTAGTACTAACTATGTGTACCTAAAACCAGACGGAAAAAGTATTTTTATTGCGAATATTGAAGCAGATGATTTTATTATAATCACAACGCACAATGGTAATACAAAAACAAAGATACGGTGAATTTTTTATTCTATTGATTTTGTATATAGTATATTCAAGCGTTTTGCTAACATTTTTTTTTATTAATAACGCACTTTGTTTTTTTGTTTATTTAAATAAATATTTATGTATAAACCAATTGTTGTAGGATATCGCGTCAACTATGATCATAAAACGTTAGAAAATATTGCTCTCTTTCTGGAAAGTGAACAACCTGAGATTTGGAATGTAAACGAATTATCTGACGTCACTTTAGCACACATTCTCGATGATGCTTTTTATTTCTTAATACAAAATACAAAGTATAATGTACATCCAGCTGCAAAAAATAATAATATAGAAATATTTTTTAATCTTGCAAGCAATATTATAGTTTACATGAAAAATTCGTACATAACCTGGTATCCTGTACTTACTGCTTTACAGTATATATCAAAGATTTTTCCGTATCCAGAAACTGCATTTATNAAGGTAAATATTACAATGCATTACAACAAATACATAATTGAAAAGCCAAAAGACCAACAACGGAATAATAAAAAACATCAGTGAGATATTTTTAAGACATTTTATACTAAACGTTTTTCTGCATCAATTTTTTTCAAGTCGTCCACAAAAACAAAACAATACATTAAAAATAATGCATAAACAATAGACAAAAGATCGTGAACATAGAAAACAACTAACACAGCAGTACAGTATAATTAAGTAAAAAACAAAACCTTGCAAATTGCAAATATGTAATAAGTAATTAGTATAAATTGAAGAAAATAGTACATCATTGTTACTTTGCATTTAAATATACAGAATGAAAAAAGTATCAAAATACTTGAGTATCTCAGAAAATATGTTTTACAGAAAAATGTTTCAGACAAAAGTAGTATAGTTTAAGGTTAAAAAGATCTATTTATTGATTGTATTACTGTGACTTTGGATTGCGCCGCCAAAGTCAGGTCAAGGTTACATCGATTTTTTTTAATAGACTTTTCTAGTTTTTATTGCTGATTTTTATAGTCTAACTCAAGAGCTTTCTACACCACTAAAAAAAGTTTATTTTCCTTAAGTAACCTTAAGTTCCTTTTTAACTTCTAAGAGTTGAATAGTAGAGTCCGCCAATACTTTTCCTACAAAAATGATTTTAAGCAAAACGTATTTTGTGATTTTCATGATAGAGAGAAATCACAAAGACCTTAACTTTTTATTCAACATAGTTTTGTTTGGATAAATCAACATTCGAAATGAATAAGAGAGATAAGCCAATACATCGTTACTCCCTACGTAGAATTCCGTAACTCCAAAACACAAATTTTAAAAAAGAGCAATTTAAAAGTTTAAAGCTTCATATAGTTTTCCTAGCTAAGGGATCTGTCGGTTTTAAAGTTTTACCTTACGTATGAATATTTGTTTTAAATATTTGGTGACCATAAAAAACATTACTTTCTAAATGTCACTATGCAATAAACTGAAAATTCGGTATGTGACACTGATGTAATTATACGTAGGAAGGTGACACCGTAATGATAATACCGGCAATATTCTAATATTCATCCCTTACAAGTCAAAACGTATTTGATAAAAATAAACTTTAATATAGTGGTTGAAAAAGCTATTAAGTTAGGCTATACGAATCTGCAGTAAAAACTAGGAAGTTTTATTTTATCAAATCGATGTAACCTTGTTTTGAACTTGGCGGCGCAATTTAAGATCACAGTAATACAATCAATAAAGATCTTTTTAACCCCCCTATATTACTTTTGTCTGAAATACATTTTTGTTTTGAAAATTTATACTTTTTGAGATATTCAGAGATGCTTCGGTACTTTTGTTTTCACTTTGTATATTATAAATGTGTTTTTTTAAAACCGAAAAAAGTGAAAAAATTTGCGCATATACATATGTATAAACAGTATTATTGAAACGTAACACTTATTAAATAAAAAAAAATAAATTGTCCATAAATAGTACTAAACAAAAAACTGCTAAATAAACTGAAGAATTTTAAATATATCATAAAATATACTATAAAAGTATATTTTTCACTTTTTCAGACTAAAATCCTTAAACTATTGAATATCTTTCTTGAGGATACATCACATAAAAACTTTTCTGAAAATAGTATCAGTAATCAGATATATTATGAAGTTGTAAAATGGACGTGTATTCTCGATGGTGTAAAATGCAAAGAACATGTTAATGCTATATTAAAGTGGCATTTAGAAAATTCTGTAAAAAACAAGTACGTCTTTCTGCTTTGTTCTTTTGCTAATAAAGTATTATATTGTATATTGAATAATTGTGACGTGAGTCTTGATGCAGTATTATAATATTGTAAGAAAAGTAAAAACTTGCAAGTAAATTATTTTGTAAAGAAACTTAACTACAAAATAATTACATATGTACTAACATAAACTATTTATATTATAAATTATAGTTTTATGTATACATATATTTATATACAATTATGTTTTTGAATTGTAGACTTTTGCCAAGTTGGCAGAAATGGATTTACTGCCAAAGTTTAATTTTAGAAAATGGTACGTTTGATACATCCGATTTGTGGCAAAACATAGAGAAGATATATTCAACTGATAACAAAAAAGAACAACTTTTTGAATTGTTATCTTGTTATGGACATAATATTGTGCAAATTTTACGTGAAATTGAAGCTAGTCTACTAACCAAAAGACAATCTGTTTATGTTCTTTTCGATAGTGTAACAAAATATTCAAAAAATGTTACATTATTAAATGGTATAACAAGCAGACTACACAATTATGCAAGGTAATGGATGTTCTGTATATAAAACTGTGTATATTTATACTGTATAGATAAATTTATTTTATATAGTTTGTATATTTATGTAAAGTGATTTAATTCATACATTGTTTTATCATACCATGTGTGAAAATATCTTGTATGTACATAAAACATTCTTGCACTGAGTATCTATTATTTGTGGTCTTTTTTATAGAGACAATCTACTTGCAGTTGTCACTTTTATTATTAACAACACGTATTCAGAGGAAAATCTTAAAAAGGTATAATATGTGACTTTTATCGTTTATTGTTGCTTTGAAATAAAACATATATGTGTATATTTAAAAACACATGTGTGTATTATAAGTATAATAATAAGGTTTATATATGTAGTTTTGTGTAGCATATTAAAACAATATACGTAATGTATAAAAATTCTGCGCAATATATGTCATCAAGTTCAGTGTTACTAACAAAAATTGTTTTTAGATTTCTGTAGGACTGCTTTATAATAACCTGATCGACATATATAATATAGAGAAGGTAAAAGTTATTATATAAATATAAAAATATAAGTGTTTAAAATAGTTTGTTTTGCATTAGTGCAATGATTTATACTTGTTTTAACAAATTTTTGTTTATTTTATTTCTGATACATAAACTGGATTTCTTTTGAGTGTATTTTCGTTTCTTTTACAAAACTGTATTTTACAGAATTCTCTGACTTGCAAAACTATGCCATAAGATGTTATGATAACTGTATTTTATTTGTTTTAGGCAAGATTCATGCTTGACATCATCATGAAGAAAGCTGAGAATCGTCGTACGTTTTTAAATAAAATAAGTAGTGCCATGGGTCACAAACCGCACGAATTGTTTAAGTAGTATATATAATTAATAAGATATTTTTTATGGTAGTATGCTTTATTTAAATAAAAAACAATATTCATGTATTGCGTTTAATACTAGAGAACCTTTTATATAAGAAAGCTTAATTCTTATTTTATGACACTACATAAGTATTTATTAATTATGTTTAAAATCGGAAGTATAGACTCCAGATTTTACTACATTTAATAATTTTTAAAGTAGTCATAAAATAAAGTCGAGTCTTTAGTAAGCTAACTAACAATATTGTATTTTATTTTACACAACTGTTAATATAAATAAATTTAAGTATAATCACAACTGCACAGAATTAAATATATATATTCATCGTACGCTATAGGAAAAACGCGATGATAAAGTATAAAACTGAGATGTAAAAAAAAAAAAGAAACAATCTGTATCAGACAAGATATATATGTATGTCGTAAAATGGCACTTTTATTTATGTACTTTTTAAACTGTAAATGATAACTTAGTTATAGTTTAATGTTTAAATGTATTATTTTTTTTTATTTTTTATGTTTCTATAAAGATAGTTTTTAAGAGTTACTTATAATAAAAATTAGAGTTGCAAAACTACTTTTTGTTTGTTGGTTTTCGTAAATCTTGTAGTTTATAGTAATACGAATATTTACAAGTAACTTCATATAGAAAGAGTTGTCGCAAAATATAATATTTGTTTCCAACTAACCAGCCTATTTACAACAAGGTTTTAAACAATAAATATCTGCGATAAAGCAGTATATAGTATACAAATTATGCTTTTGTGCATTTAAGAGTATTGCACGCGACACAATGTAAGTCGTAAGTGTTAGATGTGCAAAAGAAGTGCTTTTAATTTTTCGGTTGCGACTACACTTTTTTCACGTAATACAATGGCTTTTAATTATCAGTAGTTAATGAGTTTTTTATAATATCTACATGAAAAAATGCTATTTTTATATTTACTCTTCCCATTGACATGTCGCGCGCGTAGCAATTATAAACACGCAAAACTCTGTCTTAGGTAGATACACGCGTTTAGTCCGTTTTCACATCTTTAGTACGACAAATCTTAGTAATTATTGCAAATCTCGCACTGTTCAAACATTTCGAATCATTATTTTTTTTTTACCTGCCTGAACGAGTGTACGGCTACTGCTGTACACTTTGTATACACGTATATACAATGTGGACTATGTTATAATGTTACAGTATTAATCGAATTTACATCACTCATATCTTTAATGTCCACATGTAAGTTTTAGTAATTTGTTGCTTTTTCTTACCATAAAAGTTTCAAACTTTACACGTGAGAGTAACACTATCTCACTTAAAAGTTCAAAAATTACTGTGTTTTCTTTACAGATTTCAAATATAGATTTAGAGAATAAACAAATATCTTATATAAAACATTTTGTATATAAAAGTATCCTCTTACATAAAATTGTTAACAGACATTTTAAATACAATATTTCTATCATTATCTATATACGTAAGATACAACCGTAAGGTCGTTCTCTTCTACCACTCACACACATACGTTTACCTCGTGGTATGTATTTATTCTTTCAAAGCAAACGTCTGCTCCTTAGTTATCGATGATTTCTCGACACGGCAAGATTCGGCATAAATACGCATACGCGATACGTTTTAGAGCTTGTAGTACCAGTGTGCAGTATTTTCTGTAAGAATTTTAATTTAATGCGTTGGATATCAATTTGCAGAAAATGGTAAGATAATACGTTTTTCGTGTATATGATGATAAAGTAAATTGCTATGAAATAAAGATTCTGTTTCTAACCGTATGTTATATAAAACTCGGAATATGAAATGTCGGGTATAGATGTATTATCTCAAAAGTCTATTCTACTGGTATCGTAAAATAGAAACAGAAATAGAAATAATCAAATTTAAAGTCCTAATATGTTTATATGATATAATATGTTTATATGATAGTATAATATGATAAATAATATATTGTTTTACAATAAAATATTAATTTTTCATTAATGTTGTCTTGCACATTGTAAAATTCGAAAGTTTAAAAGTTATAAAAGTATAAAACGAAGAACTATAAAAGTTTCTCTACCTTAAAGTTGTGAGTCAAATTTTGTAAAAAATATGTATTACACAATTTATACTTTTGGTTTTGTATTTGTCTGCTTGTGTGTATATCAGATTGGAAAAGATAAGAAATAAATACTGTTTTGGTAGATATGTGTGATAGAACTATAAACATCATAGAATATTGAAAAAACGTACAATCCTATTTTAGTTATTCATCTCATAAAGATCTAAATTGTTATATTGAAAATTATACGCACAACATACAAGTACATACATCTACAGGTGTCAGTTATGTATTTAAATAAACCTATATTTTTTACTTCTTAACTAATAACTTTTTGTCTTATACTTGTGCTTTTATTTGCGTCAAAGTGTTTTGTCTACAATGTAATATAGTTTTATATATACAAACTTTGCAGACGCTGACATTTTTCGGACTTATATACTTTCTATTTGTCAACGAAATTACTTCTACCACTGACGATCTTGTGTCTCGTGATTCTACATGTGTAAAACCGATACAATATATTATAGATATTACTCCAAACGTACAAAACAATTCTCTCTATGTTGATTCTCATGTCGAACTGAATATTTCATGTGTACAGCAAGATATAAGAATATATTTCGGGCGTTATTGTAACGATAAATACAATATTTTTATCGATACTGATATTGTCTATGATAAGAATACGTATTTGTCATATTCAACACGTTTTACAAAAGATCGATTTATAGATATCAGACTCAGAAATCTGTATCAAAATAACTCTACAACTGAAGTACAGAAAATTAATCTCCATCGTGGAATATATCGGATACATAGAAAATATAATTGTAATTTAAAGAAAGTTGCAATGATTTTTTCATATGTAGATCAAACTAAAAAAGAAACGTACGTGAAAAAAATGTTAATCAGTAATTATTCTTTCTTTCATTTTGATGAAATAACATTTATACATTTTTATAAGTAATAAGTTCTTTAGAACATCAATTTTTTTATTCTATAGATATTTGATTTTACCTCGTATTCCTGCTGAATGGATATTTCCATATTGGGAAAATCCTGCAACTAAGGCCAAATTTACTATTCGAATTATCCATGAATACAGTACAACAGCTCTGTCACACATGCCTGGTGATAGAATTGTAGAAAAAAATAAGTTCTATACTTTATTTTCTATCACACCCGTAATGGTCACTCAATTGGTAGCAACAGTAGTCGTACCTTATGAATATGCCATACCTATTGTATTGTTTGATAATGTTACTCTAGCAACCAGGTTTGAAGTGAGAAAAGACATATTGTACGCCATGTTTCTTATAGAGGATACTACGATATTTCTGAGAGAAAAAGTAAAGGATGTCATAGTGGCCTCACATGTGCGTTATGTAGCACTTCCAATAAACTCCAGCTCTTACAATACTATAGTAACTACTGG